ATAAAGTACTGTATGTGTATATACAGGTACAGTACTGAATACAGTATACGTATAGTATATCAGCAATAGAAACATGAATTGGAAGGTGTACTTTACTTAGTTCAATGATCCGTAGCCTTGGTGTACCTCTAAGAATTATATATAGCTATTGTATATGGAAGCACACACACTTATTTGTCATGTGAGGTAGGTGGAATAGTCAATTAAGCCTCCAGTAACAACATTATACTGTACTGTCTTTGTACCGTAGGAGAAATATTCAATTTACACTGAAGTGTACTGTAAAACATTTTGAAAATAGCTTAATTTAATTATAGTATGGTGTATTTACTCCCCCCTGAATTATCATCCCTATTATAAGTCAGATTTACTTAGAATGAGTTAAGTCAGATGTGCTAAATTGATGCAAGTGCAATTGCCATTTTATGATAAATTTTTGTTCATTTTTTTCTGGCATATCTGGAAATTTAGCCCCCCCCCCCCAATGAAATAGAAGTGTGTGTGTGTGCGCGCGTGCGTGTGTGTTCCTTACGGGTGAAATCTGCTGACTTTAGGAAATCCTACGGCTGTCTGTTTTTTCCTGCATGCAACGATAAAAAAAGGTGTAAATAAACCTAGAAAAGATAGCATACTGATGTTAGGTGAAGTTAGAAAAGGTTTGAACAAGCTACTTTAATTTTAGGCTTGCATTGGTGCATTTCAGTTGTCAGATATGTTATGTTAGCAATGTATTTGTTGCTATGCAAAGAGTAGTGTGAGTTTATATTAAAGCTTAACTTTATTGTGATTTGGGTAATTTTTTCATTAGTATAATCTGTGTGTGTATGTGGTATGTTTTGAGTGCCTGATGTTATTTTTTATTTGTATTATTTTTCTTTGGCTGTTTATCAGATGTGTTAAGAAAAGATTATCTTATATTACTTTTAAGATACAGTACACTAGCAACTGGCATTGGGAACCTGAGAGACGACAGCATGTGGACTTTGACCTTAAATGCCTCTTCATTATTATCATTTTATTATTATATGTAAAAGATATGTTTTAATGAGTGACTTTAGCGGGGTAGTGCGTTTGGCGTTGTTCTTGGGAATTGTGAGAGAATGCCCAGATTATTTCCTCTACTCAATTATTTACTTTAATTCCTATCATTTTTTCATTACCATAATCTTAATGCTCTCTTTCAATGCTTTTTACCTTTTTTTCTCAAATCTAATATTTTTCTTCTTTAATACATGTAGTGTATGTCTTAGAAAGTTAAGAATGCCAAGTCGTTTGCTAGAAATTATAGTGAGGTCTGATTTCCAAATTTGCATGTGGAAAATTTTCAGTATTAATAAAGTGATTATCACTGGTAACAATATCTTCCTGTAATGACATTGATGCTGTGAGTTCATTGCTTCATCATTATTATCATCTTGTGACAGTTCGAGGATGGGCAGGACTGTGCTACAACCACCAGGATATATTATGTGTATATATATATATATATATATATATATATATATATATATATATATATATATATATATATATATATATATATATATATATATATATATATATATATATATATATATATATATATATATATATATATATATATATATATATATATATATATATATATATATATATATATATATATATATATATATATATATATATATATATATATATATATATATATATATACGTACACACTTTTTTTAATCTCTAACTTATAGTCACTATAGAAACTGTAACATATTATGGAAGTCAACATTATTAAGGCAGAAGTATAATTTTATATTTTTGCTAAATATTTCCATTTTCCAAATTACCAGTTGTTTGTTACCATAACAAGGTGCTTTTTGTTAAACATTGGCTTATAGCACTACTCCCTAGCCCCTCACCATCCTCACATGGTTGTTGTCATCTCCTTTCAACCATGAACAATGCTTATTTTATTAGTAACATTTTCACATTGGCTACTCAGGCTTATTTTGTAAAGCTGTTTAACTGTCCAGTTGTCTTCATGAACATTTTGTCTTTACAAATCTGTATTCTTGACATAAAATTCATTATAGAACAACTGGTCAGTGGTACTTAGTGTTATTGGTTTCAAGGCAAACTAGAAAGCTTTAGATTATGGTAAGGACACTGGACTATGCAACAACCACTTGATGGAAGCTGTTTGTCATGTTCCCTGTTGAGGCTGCGGGTACTGTACGTATTGGGTTTTCACAGTCATTTACACATTATTCTATGGCAGACTTATCATGGCAGTGCACTTTAAATGCAAGGTACTTCTGTAATTTATAACACAAGTAGATATATGAATAAAATATATAGACCTTTAACATTCTAAAGGAGATAAAAGTATCTATATAATAATAGCAAGATGCTTTTTATCAGTTGCTAAAGCAAAACTTTAATACTGTACAGTACATCATCTTTTACAGTACTGTATATGAAAAAAAAAATTGAGTACTTTTAACATTCCAGCTATACAGACTGTGTG